TTTCCAAAATGCTTTTCAATAAATTATATGATCTATGTTGTTTGCTTCAATAGAGTCGAGATGAAAAAAATAGCTCGACAAGTAGAATGACGTTTTCAAGAATTTTTTTCTACACAATCATACAACAACAGTTGAACTTACGCAAGAACAAATATAGTCATATATAGATAAAACTTTTCGTATATATGACTTCTTCTCGTCTCAACATGGCACAAGATGGCTATATTCCAACTGAACGTTTCCACGACGTCAGCTGTGAACCACAACAGCGTCTTGCACTTATTCGAGGTTATGAACTAAAACCACTGATTTCACTCGAAGAAGCTGTCCATCCACTTGAAGAGCTAATCGGTGACATTCAAGATTTCGTCTGGACAGCTACGGGTAATTGTGAGCAGCCAAGAGATGAATTGACACCGAATGAACGTGCTGCTATTTATCTTTACACAATGGGATACATGTATCATCAACTAAATTCTGCACTACGAAATGAACAACGACAACTTCTGTTGCCGTACTTCTTCTATTTAAAACTCTTTCTAACCGCCTTATGGAAATTGCAAGATTTTACAGACGTTATCTGGCGTGGTGAGGGAAAAAATCTTACTGATCAATATCCAGAAGGAAAGAAATTTGTCTGGTGAGATGACGTTTCAATATAACAGCGCCGGTTCTACCCTCTTCTCTTCTCTCTTGGTCGTATGAAGACATAGTTTTTTTAACGTTCACCGGGGTTTCTCTAGCTGCACACCATCATTAAATGTTTTACAAAAAGAAGCGTTTCTTGGTGAAACAGGACAGAGAACTTTGTTTAATATTCAGTGTTACAATGGAAAATCGATACAGAACCATGCACAGTTTCCAGATGAAAAAGAAGTTTTGTTGATGCCCTGTAGTTATTTTCAAGTAATGAGCAGTGTTGAACAGGACAGTGATCTACGTATCATTCATATTAAACAAATTGAACCGCCAGTCACATTAATTCGACCACCATCATCTTCTTTTTCTGCTGCTGCTGCTGCACATTCTCATTCATCTACTACTGCTGAAATTCTTAAAAAGAAACCAAAATTGTCAATCAGCATTAGCACATTTAACAATGCAATGGGTGCTAACGATAAATATTTAGTTTGTAAACTTAATACCAAACTCAGTTTTCTTGATGAACAAGGAAATAATAAATTAAACATTAACTGGAATTTACATGTCAACGATATTTGTTGGTCATCATATTTAAATTAATTTCTTATCTTATCATTTTTATCTGATGATCTAAATTCAGGCACGCTGTTTTCTTTAGATATAACTGATGATAGTAAAAAAATTAAACAGTTTAATCATTTTATGCTTAGTTGTATCACGTCTTGTAGTTATTGTAGGTGGAGAAGCCGATAACGACCGGTCTTATTATTATTGGTTTGAGTTACGTGATCCAAATGATATGAATGTACTACAAGTTGTGCAACTTAGTAGTTATTGGACAACTAGTTTTTTTGGTGATTGTTTTGTTCCGCTTTCTAGAGAACAGTTCTTGGTGGGTATACTACCACAGAAAACATTATTCATAATTAATGCAGATGGTCAAGTCGAAGCAACAATTCCATATGATCTATGTGACTTTTCAGCAGCAGCAGCTTTGATCAACAGTTGATGTCTTGGTATACAAACAGAGAGTGAACTTCGTTTCTATGATTTGTGAGGAGTAAATCAAGTTCTGAGAAAACGAATTGTGGATGGAGTTCGAGCTGCTTTTAATTGGTCCGTCACAGTATATACAAACATTTTAAGCATATGTTTTGGCGGCTACTTTGTGCCGATCTGTGGATATTTGAAAGCTTGAATAAATCTTGCATAAAACAAGCACGTGGACACTCACTCAGTTTCTATCCCCACGCAGTGAAGAAAAGAAAAAAAATTGTCTTTCTTTTTACATATAGTTCAGAAAAGTAAAAATAAAAAACTTGCTTTTTTAATTACCACAGCTTTGTTATTCAAAATAAAGTTTATATTCATGATCTGGATGAAAATCTGAATCTAACCCTAGTGAAAGATCAGATGACCTGGTCGGGAATCTGGTCAGATTACTGAAATGTGATAAGAACAGATCATTGATTTCCTGACCAGTATACTGACGTTTTCAAGAATAGGATAAGAATTCAAGATCCATATCTGATTTCCTGGCCGGGAACCTGTTTTATTCAAGACCAGTATCTTGTTTTCTGGCCAGTATCCTGGTTCGCTCAAGAACAGGATCTTAATTTCTTGATTGAAAAACTTTTAATACGACAAGATCTCTCAAAATAAAGTGTTTCTTAAGGTAGTTGACACACTGATTTCACCATATTTTACCCGGTTTTCTCTTCGGGAACATAATGCAATCAGGATGAGTTATTCACCTCAGACTTGTTTCGAGGTTGAGCTTAAAATAAGTACACAGCAATTCTATTTGTAAACACGCTTGTCATAGATACTATGTTAACAGTTTTTGGAACTTTCAGAAAAATTTTGATTGTTATTTCTAAAGTAGCTTCAATCTCAGACTTCTCTAAGTTCGCCCATGTATTTCTCAATTATGGTTTGACATATAACGGGCATTTGATCTCAAAATAAAGGTGACAGCGGTTGATGTTTTATGGTTCTTGTGTTATTACCGATAAGGTAACGTTTGCCGTATGTGAAGAAAACACTCACGTTGGAACTTTCAGAGAATGTGTACCCGATAATATTATCGCTAGGATCAGTTCGTTATTAGAGCCAATCTAATATCCTATGAATGAGGCGGAATGGCTGAGCCCCAATCCTCCGTGCGTCAAACAGAACCGAACTGATCGTTGTTACATCCCGAGAACCTTTTTTTTAAACTTTAATTCTCGTCTCTCCAGTCCAATGGTTACTGGAATCGGGTTACCCCATTGCATCTGTGCCAAAGCTACCGAGACAATGAGCATTAGATAGTTTGTCCAAGACTATCACGCGACCGCCGTTGCCGGGATTCGAACTCCGTATCTTTGAAGTACATTGTCTGCCCACTAGCCGACTGAGCCACGCTGCTTTATGATTAATCCCGGCAACGGCGGTAGCGTTTTGCTCACAGCTGTAAAGATCAAGCGTTCTTCAAAGTAAGCTAGATATCTGCGATTGAAGATAGATTATGGCGATTGTCATGTCTTCTCTACGCTGCTTTTTGACGAACAGTACAAATTTAAGGTTGAAGTACAATCGATACACTCCTAGATATACAATTTTCTCATTAAGAAATGAAATTATGCCGAAAACAATCGTTTTTTTAAAGAAAACATCAAGCATCAATCTTTTATTTATTGAAAATATAACAATGATTAATTTAAAACAATGTGTTATTCAATGTGTAACTCATCATTATTGTCAAATAGCAATGTATTTTCTGATAGAAATGGATAAACATTACATGGAATAATCATAGGCAATCAACTACCTATTTTTTCTGAATAATTGCGGCAACAGTTATTAGTACGTATGATACAGTTTCATTCTCTAATGAAAGGCTAACCTTTCTCGAAAAGAAAATGTTTTCCTATCTTTTTACTGATACTATCATGTGCAAAAGTCTTTTTCACCAGAGATCGATCTTACTGATGCTAAACACAATGTACTCGTTAAACAAAACAACACTGCATCATCAATGAGACTAGATATCAATAGATATTTTCATGACAGATGATATAGTACAATTCTGATGTTAGTACGAAATATTTGAATTTTCGTACGGGTACAATGTGAAATCGTTTAGATGCACGACGTATATGTACATAATTTCCTTACCACACCAAACGGTTTATAAAATGTAACTGGCATATGTTTTGTAAGGACTAATGATAGTTTCAACAGAAATCTGATAACAAATATCATTGAAAGAAGTAGCAATCCATTGTTAAAACAAAATAAACTTATAATTGATTAAAATTGACTTATAATGGTTGAATGATAGTGTAGAAAAAAATTCTTGAAAACGTCATTCTACTTGTCGAGCTATTTTTTTCATCTCGACTCTATTGAAGCAAACAACATAGATCATATAATTTATTGAAAAGCATTTTGGAAATTCATATGCATTATTCCATTCAAGAGATTTGAGCGGTACTACTTCTTCTGTCTATTTACTTTTGAATTGATCTGCTCATATCTTTTTGTCTCCATTTTTGACTGAATGATTCTTTTCATATATTCTTGTGTATGTCGTCTATATTTTAGAAGATACAGGGTACCTCTTTGTTAGCTTTATCATTCAATTTACATAACACTATCAGTAAATTGTATGAAATAAGTAGAAAGATTTTGTTAAAAAAAGCGTTGGTTTATGGATTCGAATAGCATTAAGTACCATTCTATTCTTGTTTTAAAGAAATTCCATATGTTATACTAATCGATAAACACATTTTGCAAAGGTTAAAGGAATGAGCCAAAAAAAGTTTAATTTTTAATTTCTCTTACCGTATGGTGAAATATTAATTGAGTACGTTACATATTACACCTGTTAATCGTGACTTATACTCAATATCCAGGATATATTGTCTTTTAAGTAGCATATCACCGACAGAAAAATAAAGTTCATGCATAGATCTGCCACTGTCACCGCGGATGGATCTTTGGCGTCGAAATTTTTGAGAGCTTCCCGTCGCCGTCGCTGCTAAAAATACAAACTTGTTTTATCCTCCGCCGATAGAAAAAGTTTCGGAATCAAAACGCCATAAGAAATTAGAAAAATAGGAAGTAATGTTATAATTAGCCACATTCACAACATGGAAGCTACGTCTAACCGTCATATACGAGAGTACATGCACCATCATATACATTATTTCTATACGGCCGGTTTATAAGCGTTTTGACGGCCAAAGATAGGTCTCTCTTCAGCTTGTGAATATGACTCATTGCTAAATGGGAAAGAATCACTGATTCAATACGCCTCCGTCATCTATATCTACATAGGCATTATCTATATAAAATGAGAATTCTAATTAGTCATAATTTAATTTAAATTTAAAA